TGGCCCTTGTCTTATGGACGATATGCTACCACTACGACGAGTAACTTCCCTACCCTCTATAAATGTTTATATCACATATAATTGGATCAGATCAAAGGCATAGACAACTGGATATATTTATCTATAGTAGAAATTAGTGATGAGTGAAATATCGGTAACTGTGACTTTGTCACTGATATTCTATAATCACAGTCACGGCCTGTGACTGATTTGAAAATAAACGGTGACTTGCTAAAGCGTGACGATTACAGTTAATTGTGATTTCTCTGGTAACGAGAAAATACTTCACAGAGCGGGACGTCGGCGTCGCTCGTCGCGAACGCAGCTTCCGATGGCGCCGGTCGCCAATCAGTTCACAGTCACGAGTCACGGCGTACGTCTCATAGGATAGATATTTGACAAAGTGATCTAAAGACAGTGACTGTTAGAATTGATTTAATTTTTATGTATTTTATATTTTTATTACTATTTTTTATCATTACGAATCGGTTTGGTTCCTTTTAGTTTAGCAGGTTTTAAAGCCAAACATAAAATTTTACCTTTATACTGTTTATTTTTTTGAAACTTCAATATATTTCGTTTATTTTAACAAGGAAAGCGTTTAATGTATTACTTATCTCGTGTTGTTATGTTTCGTTCGTTATGGTTATGAGCATATTGCATATTTTATTCTTTTTCCGTTGGTTTCGCTAAATAAAAAATTGTTTTATTTTATTTTAATAAACCTTTACCCACTGTTTGGTGTTTTCTATTTCAGCGGCCTTGGATAAGGGACAAATAAAAGTGGAATAACAACATTGTCGTATCTTATATTTAAGCCGTGATTGTGCTTTCGGATTCATAATCATAAAGTCGCAGTCACAGTTAAGAGTCACAGATAATACAAAGTCGCTGTCACAGGTAAGCCTGTGAACAGAAAATCACGGTTTGGCTCATCACTAGTAGAAATACTATAGACTTATCTATAGTATTTCCGAAATCAATTGGAATTACTGAGACTCTAAGTCCCTTGTCCAGCTGACGCCGACAAAGAGACGGTTAATCTATTATTTCAACTGACTTTACCAAGCTTCATAACAGTTTATACATAATTTGTTTCGGGTATCACACTCAAGGAAGACGCCAAAGGGAATTTGGCCCAACCCATTGAGTTGCATAATTGCGCGTGAATATTTTAGAAACGGTTAGTATCCCACCTTCTGACGTTTTTAGGTTGAGTAATATGTGGGTTATCCATGTGTGCCAGAAAATCGTTTTAAAAATTAATTGGTTCTTGAATTTTTAAAGCGTAAAGGTTTTGTGCATTTCAAGTGACAAAATAAAATGGGTTCCAGTAAAGAGATATTTGTCGCTTTCATTTTATTTTAATAACATATAAAAAAATATTTTTTGTTTTCTTTTGTGAGATGTAAGTGATATGTTGGTAGAGGAATTATGATAACAAAATAATCCAGGTGTTTGTATCTAGCGTGTTTTTGCACGTTATTCGTGCGTGGGATACAAGAACGAGTGCTCGAAGGGGGTTAAGCGGAGTTATGGCTGCTCAACCAGCGCAGCGGATGGAGCAAGGCCACGTCAGCAAGCTTACGTACGATCACGTCGGAGCTCGTGTAACGACTTATTTTTGTAAAAGTCAAAAAAATTAATCAAGTTTAATTTCAAGGTTTGCAAGCACGATGGGATAATTATTAAATATGGGTTCCATAAAAGTAAGATATTTATTTTCATTTATTTTGTATATTCGAAATTTTTTGGTTTTTTTTTTTTAATATAAAACTGAAAATACCTACCAATTTGGTAGAGGAATTATGATAACAAAATAATCCAGGTGTTTG